GCATCTTTCTGCCTCCTCCAGTAATGACAACGAACAGCTCACTTCCACCGCCCCGAAGCTGTTTCCAGATTATGACCCCAGAGGATTATCAACCTTCTTAAAAGTTATTTCACTTTTTGAAGAGAAATTTGTCATCATAAAAATTATCTTCACTATTCAACTGAATAATTTGGTTTTATTTTTCTTGGTTAACATATCTTTACATAGTTTGCATTGGTGATTATTCCAAATGGACATTGTCAATTTGATTTACTCGCATTATTGTTTTTCACTGTGAAATTGTTGTTCATTTTAGAACAGGACTGGACTAGTTTAGTTTCTCTTCCTTTGCGTACAAGATGTCGTTATATAGAACTTTTCTGGCTTTCAAATTCCATTTTCTTCTTTTACTGTCATCACAAGAGCATAAGAAATGAACAAAATCTTTTCTGAATCCTCCAATGTTGTTTTATTACAAAATTTGTCTTAATTATAGAATATATAAGGTATATTAATTTATCCAGTTCAATTAGAGTCTTCTTTATTTATCTTTCTCATCCAGGAATAAATGTCCACTATTACTATGTCATACATCAAAAAAATTCTTCATTCAACTTCTATTCTTCTCAATTTAACATATTATTTTTCAAACATAAGTAAAAGAGAAGAAAGCCAACACCTTTCTAAGACAAAACAATCCAGCTATCTCAGCATCTTCTAAATAATCCTAAAATGTTTTTATATCACATGTGTGCATTACTAAAGTAATCCTGCAGTAAACTTTCCAATGCTTTGCACTTCTGCTCTGGGCTCCATTTTGTGTCCTGTGGTAATAAAGGGATATTTTTCAGGTTTCTTGTTTTGATCACTCTGAAGGCAAAGACAAATTCATGAAACCAAGTGGTTTTATTGATTCTCCTTGCTACGGAGAACATGAATCAAGAGATCTTTTTCAAACCTGCTCATTTTCTGTGGCCTGGGAACTTTTCTGCATACCACTGAATTCTGCATTCACTGTAATAGGCGTCA